GGCCAGCGAAAGTGTGGAGTTGGCAGCAGCTTCCTCGAAAACAGTGAGACCGGCGGCACTTAAGTTCCGAACTGCTTCCATTTCCCGCGCAAAACGCCCAGGGCGCCGGCATCACAAAAACGCCCAGGGCGCCGGCATCACAAGAGGCGCCGAAAGGGGCGTGGCCACGACACCGCACTTTATGGCTGCGGCAGAGGAGCCTGGAAGGGCTAGCGTCCAAGAGCTTTGAAACAGAGTCACTTTACAGCGGCTGCAAAGAGGAGCCTGGAAGGGCTAGCGTCCAAGAGCTTTGAAGCAGAGTCACTTTACGGCGGCTGCAAAGAGGAGCCTGGAAGGGCTAGCGTCCAAGAGCTTTGAAGCGGAGTCACTTTACGGCGGCTGCAAAGAGGAGCCTGGAAGGGCTAGCGTCCAAGAGCTTTGACGGAGCAGAGTCACTTTACGGCGGCTGCAAAGAGGAGCCTGGAAGGGCTAGCGTCCACGAGCTTTGAAGCGGAGTCACTTTACGGCGGCTGCAAAGAGGAGCCTGGAAGGGCTAGCGTCCAAGAGCTTGGAAGCGGAGCAGAGCGGAAGTCCTGATTTCTCCTACCACGGGAGCCACCTGACTCAGCGGAAGCAGAAGTAGCCTTATAGAAGCCACGCCCCTTCCCCCATGCGCTCCTCCCCTTACTCAGAAATCTAGGGCCTATCTTCTCCCACTGCGGAACTCTTCAATACGTGCAAGTCCATATTAGGTTGTTTGTTTCTTGGCAAAAAAAAAAAAACAGCGTGACATCACATTTGCAGTCACGCGGTCATATACATGTTGTTTTTTCCAAAGAATAAGAATTAATAGATTGTTCTTTTTCAAAGATGATCCTGAAAGACGATATGGAGGCCATGGCAGAATATTTTGCAACCTGTAGGGTGGGGCTGACGGGTGGGTAATTACCTTGAGCTCGGGTTCATGCGACTGTGCTCACTGAAGCACGCTTGCTTTGTTTCTGCGACTTTGCATCTGTTTTCTGTTACGCGAAGAGATCTTCATAGTGCCCGGTTCCGTGCCGCCTAATCCGCATTTTGTGAGCAGCACGGGAGGCGGAGGGAAAAAATAGCCAGGAAAGACCCAGAGGCTATTTTCCACAAGTGTGGAGAGACGACCCACACGCCGACCAGTGTCCGGCGCCCTCGTGGGATGGGATACTTGTTAGGGAGCCGCCACGATGTGGGTAGAAGAAGGCCGGTTGGTTGCAACTACCCAGGGAAAGAAGGATGGTTAAGCGGCCCTCCACAGGTATAAGGCCTTGGGAGCAGAGCAGGGAGCGCGGGACCATGGTGAAGCCGGGTGTCGCGCCAGGGCAGGCCCTCCCGACGGCGCCACCAGACAAGGCCCAACTCTACCGCCTAAGTGGCGGTGGAGGGTCGCGCAGGGTCAACGCTGTGAAACCGCGGGCATAACGCGCCGAGCCCCCCACACCTATTTCAGAAATACTGTACAGAGCCTTTCTCCAGACGAGGAGCAGGTGAGGGTTCCTAAGTGGGTTCTAGCACTCATCCCATGTTTTGTGGATTTTCAACAACACCTCTCATGTCTCACCTCACGTCTTAGGCAGGTGTGGAAATGAACAAGGACGGCTCCCTCCATGTCCCCGGGGGCAAGGACTCCAACAACCACTCTAAGGCCCTGGGTTACTGACAACCTGCTGGCAGGTGGGGACACAGAGACTCAAGAAACTGCACGTTTGCAAGGGGCAGTTCTCACCTGCAAGGGGCTTAAGGTCACACAAGAAATGGGCCCACGGAGAGGAATCAATCAATAAGCATGTTTTATTCCCCAAATCAGAGCAATGACAAACGTACTGTCCACTAACCTGAAGACAAGGTCACAGGACAAGGAGGAGAGACCTTCCCAAGGGGCAAGGATGCTGAGGAGCAGGAATGACTCACAAGCTTCTTCCCACGTTGATGGGATGGGTGCCTGAAACACCAATCAGAAAGAATATATGTACCCCCATGTTTGTAGCAGCACTATTTACAATTGCTAAGATCTGGAAACAGCCCAAATGTCCATCAGTAGACAATGGATAAAAAGCTGTGGTACATGTACACCAATGGGAGTACTATGCAGCTGTAAGAAAGAAAGATCTATTATCCTTTGAGATGATATGGAGGGACCTGGAAAGTATTCTCCTAAGCGAAACAAGCCAAACAGAGAAAGACATGATCTCACATGATCTCACTTATTTATGGAATATAATGAACATAACAGTCTGAGGAATTGGGTAGACCAAGAGACATGGAAGTAGGGTACAGACTGACAACCTCAGAAGAAGGGGTGTGGGGGGAGGGAAGAGATAAACCACAGAACTTATATGCATGTACGCAGAACCGATGGACACAGACAACAAAGCCGGGTATGGGGTGAGGGGGCTGGCTACGGAGGGTGTCAATGGGGAAAAAAGGGAGAAACATTCGAAACAAACATAAATTAATAAAAAATAAAAATAAAAACAAATAGTTCCTTTTAAATTTTCCAGCCTGCTTCGAACTGATTGAGATTTATTTGTTTAATATAATTTCATCAAACAATTTGGAGGTTATATCTACATTTCAAATTTGCGTAGTACCAACATTGTTAGTATTGGTATTTATATTTAAAATTCTGAACCATTTTATATTATCTTTTTTAGGTAAGAAAAGGTCATTACACATTAGCTGAACTCCTTGGGCCTAATTTGAAAATCTCTGTGTTTATGGGACTCACACATACATACACTCGCACCAAATATTTTCTAACCTTCCTTGAATTTAAATGTATATGTGAATATATGTACAAATATACTTTTCCTAAGTTTATTTGTTTTGCCATTACTTTTCTCACTTTTGCAACTCACTGTCTCTACTTTTTGTCTATAATATTGTTGGGTTAATTACTATTTTCGTGTGCTTTTAGTGAGTGTGTAAACAATAAAATATTTGAGACCATGTATGTCTGCAAATGATTTATTTCCAATAAGATACTGGAAATTTTTCTTATATCTAATAGACGATATAATTCCAATACAAAGAAGTAGAAATTCTCTGAAGCTAAGGATCGACCACCAAAATTCTCCTCATTCTCCTGAAGATGGAACCTGGTGTGTGAATTTCACACATGAGACATGAGTTTCTGGATGTCAGATGGGCCCCCATCTTCTCATTCTAACAGACTTCTCCCCTCAGACTCTTTCACTATGGCCTTTTAATAAAAATGTGGATGAGTCTAGAATTCTTCATTTACAATTCTGTATTTGAATGGACTTCCCCCTTAACTTTTGACATTATATTTCTGCTTGAATGTGACTTCCCATCAATTTTCACCTCTTGTCATGAATGTCAAGACACACATTTCATGTATACATTCATGCACCCTGGCACTGCATGTTCCCTACACTTCTCTGTAAAATACCCAACCATAGACCTCTAGGACTGTAGCAGACGTCATCCTCACTGCTTTCCTCCTGAATCTCACACTACCCTTTGGCCTCTCTCTCTCTATTCCCCTGGGTCTTAACTTTCTCATTCCAGACTCTCTGTATTGCAGTCTACAAAATTTCCCCAACGTTGTCTTCCAATTTCATAATTGTATCTTCATCTGTATCTGCTTCCTGATGGAAAGAATATTTTGAGTGTGCTAAATCAAATTATTTTCATTTGGGGCATTTTTACCCCTAAGATATTTGCACAATTCATTACTAAAATGTCACTTCCTTTTTTCATATAACCCCAATTATTGTTGTGCAAGAATTCAAATTTTCTTATGTTATCAGACATTTGAATATTCTTCCATTAAAATGACTTCCACGTGTTTCTAGAGCTCTGTTTTCTTGGACATAATGACTCCCACTGTACCTCTGTGCACAGCCTTCCATAGCATCGTGTCTTCACTACAACTGCACATTTGCAGGAATCTCCAACCTTTTATGTTCCCATGCCCACAGGTAGTTCTGACACACACTGAAAATCTCCTTTGTGTTCAAGAAGTATATTATACAGTTGATCTAGGACAGGAGAACTCTTCATGCTTCTGAATCTCAGATTTTCAAGGTGCAATAGTCAGTTCTATAACTTCCTTCCCCTGATCCCCTCCCTGCCTGTGATGACATCAGGGTCCCTCTTCTCTCCCCACAGACAGAGAAAACTCCACACTGATGATCTTCGCTATGCCCAGGCACCAGTGGCCACTCAACTCTGACCTCCCCTGTCTGTACATGTTCTCTCTCCATTCGGGGGAATTTCACTTCCTTTTTGTGCATTGAGCATGGCCCCATATTTCAGAAATACTGTACAGAGCCTTTCTCAGACGAGGAGCAGGTGAAGGTTCCTAAGTGGGTCTAGCATCGTCCATGTTGTGTGGATTTTCAACAACACCTCTCATGCCTCACCTCACGCGCCTTAGGCAGGTGTGGAAATGAACAAGGAGGGCTCCCTCCATGTCCCGGGGGCGAGGACTCCACAACCACTCTCAGGCCCTGGGTTCCTGATGACCTGCTGCAGGTGGGGACACGGAGACTCAGGAAACTGCACGTTGATGCTTAAGGTCACACCAGAAATGGGCCACGGAGGAATCATTCCATAAGCATGTTTTATTCCCCAAATCAGAGCAATGACACACGTACTGTCCACTAAACTTGAAGACAAGGTCACAGGATAAGGAGGAAGAGACCTTCCCAAGGGGCAAGGGTGCTGAGGGGCAGGAATGACTCACAGGCTTCTTCCCACGCTGATGGGATGGGTGCTGTGGTCAGAAAGGGAAGCTCACCAGGGGCTGAGAGAGAAAGAGGACCCACACTCTGGGGCCAGGAGAAGAACCCATTTTTCTTGTCTCCATTTCCTGCATTTGTCCTCTGTGCTCATTGTCACAGTGATACTCACCCGAACGGCACAGTTGATGGTGAGCGTGTCTCTGTGGATCTGAGCTCTGCAGACCACAGGAACCCATGTCTTCCTGAAGCATCTCCAAGACCCGGTGACCACTGTCCATGGTGAGGACCCCACAGGGAGATGCTGATGGACGACGTGAAGATAAAGGAGGACCCCACGTGGGAGGCTCTGATAGGGAAGGATGTGCCCTGGGTCCCCTCACCTGCAAGGGGCATCTCAGGAGGCTCCAATCTACTTCCTGATCCACCAGGAACAGGTGCTAGGCTTCTGGGGATGGAATGTTCCCCTTCCCCAGGGGCTGGTGACATGATAACCCAGAGACAGCGAGGGCCAGCCCTTGAGTGACCACACCCTGGGGTCCATCTGTCCCTTCCTGCTAAAGCCATTACACACAGAATCTGTGTAATGCATAACCCTCAGAAGATTGAAACATATTGAAAAGTAAATAAATAATGGTGAATGTGTTCTCTTGTAAATAATAACAATAATAATAATAATAAAGACGAGGGGACATCCGATGGAGATATTACTGCTCAGTTCACACAGGCAGGAGGTGGTACACATATATTTAAATAAAGATGAATTTCCCTCGACAATCAAAGCTCCAGCCCAAATCACTGCCCCTTAATTTTTAGGAAAAAGCCATGAAACTGGGGACAGCTCTGCCCAAGGAGCAGGGGCACTGAGGGGGATCAGGACCCAGAGGCTGGTGCTCAGGGAGGAGGGGCTGGAGGCTGTCGCTAAGGAAAAGGAGAAGTTCATGAAAACACATGAGATAGGAAGCCCAACCTCTGGGGCCACAGGGGGATGTGTTTCTTTCCCTCATTTCCCTGCATTTCTCCTCTGTGCTCATTGTCACAGGGACACGCGCCTGCCCTGCTCAGTTACAGGGTGAACGTGTCTCTGCTGATCTGAGCCCCACGGGAACCCACGTCTTCCTGAAGCATCTCCAGGACCTGACAACGTCCGAGGTGAGGACCCCAGGGAGGTGCTGAGGGATGGGCTGAGGATGATGGAGACCCCACGGGGGAGGCTCTGACAGGGAAGGATGTGCCCTGGGTCACCTCACCTGTTACCTGCTTCGTGATGAAAGTGAGTCAGGCTGATAGAAAGAGGCTCCCCTATAGGCTGCAGATGTGACATCCTGGTGACCAGCAGGCTCGTTCTCCAAGGGACCACAACCTGTCGTCTGTCTCTTTGTCCTGCATGTCTGTCTGTCCATCTTTCTGGCACCGTGGTCCCTTCCATCTGCTCAGCTGACCCCAGAGGGACAGGACGTCATGACCCCCACACTCACTGCCCTGCTCTGCCTGGGTGAGATGTGACGGGGGAGGGGAAGCCCTGCTCTGTCAGAAGTTCCTGAAACTCAGCAGGCTCACAGGAAGGAGGGTTCTTGTCAGGGGTCAGGGCGAACCTCTCACAGGGACTCTCTTCCAGGGCTGAGCGTGGGCCTGAGGGCCAGAGTGCAGGCAGGTGAGTCTGTCCCCAGGTCTCCCAGGTCTCACTGCCTCTGGACACAGGGACACCCCCAGGGAGGTGGGGAAGGAGGAGAGCAGACCTGACTGACAGAAGAGGGACATCGGGGACAGGGAGCTGGGGACTGGGGTTGGCATATCCTAGGACCCAGCCTCTGATTCCTTCTAGGGACACCCCCCAAACCTACCCTCCAGGCTGAGCCAGGATTTCTGATCTCCCCTGGGAGCCCCGTGAACATCACATGTCAGGGGACTCTGGGGGCTGAGGAGTACCGTCTGGATAAAGAGGGAAACACACCTCCATGGAAAACACAGAAGCCACCGAACCCCGGAGACAAGGCCACGTTCTCCATCACACGGACGACAGTCCATCATGCAGGGAGATATCGCTGTTACTATCGCAGCCCCTCTGGCGAGTCAGAGCACAGTGACCCCCTGGAGCTGGTGGTGACAGGTGAGGGGACACTCAGGGTCCCAGCCTCAGGCTCTGCCCTCAGGAAGGGAGTTGCTCTCAGGGCCTCTGCCCTCTCACAGCCCAGCCCTGGGGGACACGAGGGAGGTGTAACCCCATTTCACATGCTGTCTCCTCCCCTCCTAGGATCCTACAGCAAACCCAGCCTCTCAGCCCTGCCCAGCCCTGTCGTGACCTCAGGAGGGAACGTGACCCTCCAGTGTAACTCAGGGCTGGGATTTGACAGGTTCATTCTGGCTAAGGAAGGAGAACACAGGCTCTCCTGGACCCTGGACTCACAGACACACCCCAGTGGGCAGAACCAGACCTTGTTCCCTGTGGGCCCCGTGACCCCCAGCCACAGGTGGACGTTCAGATGCTATGGTTGTTACAGGAACAGCACCCAGTTGTGTTCACACCCCAGTGACCCCCTGAAGCTCCTGGTCCCAGGTGAGTCCCATTATTGTCCCTTCCATGGATTGAGGCACCAGACCGGTTGTTGGCATCTTTGCTGGGAGGGGAGCCCCATGTGAGATGTGGGGTCAGGGGAGCACAGGGGCTCCTGGGGCATAGACACAGAGAGACAGTGAGACGCGGGCCAGGCTCAGGGTCCTGTCCCCAGAAGAAAGAAGAGCTGAAAGAGAGGGAGAGAGGGCTCTAGGGGTGGTCACCCAGAAGACATCTGCCCCTCAGAGACCCTCTTCCCCTGTCTACCCCTTCCCCTCACCTCGGTGGAGAAGATGCCACGTGGGTCATGGGAGGGGCTCTAGGGTGCTCCGGGCAGATGGAGGAGGAGTCTGAGTGAGGTGGGGACCCCAGGGTCAGCCCCAGAATCTCACCCCTTCTGTCCTCTTCCAGGACCCTCTGTTCCCCCCAGCCCCACACCCACAGGGCCCATCTCCACAGCTGCTGAGTCATGGGGCGTGTGTGCTCAGAGGGAGCACAGACCACCCCGGATGCTTCTGATTCCCTCAGAGGGTCTCATGCCCCCGACACTAAGGACAGGCTGTGTCCCAGGGGCTGGGAGCAGGGGATAGATTGAGGGTGAACCAGGGGCTTCAGGGCTCTGAGGATTCACCCCACAATGGATAGGCCTACAGAGGGTTAAGTGAGGCAAGTGACAGTTGGGGTGGTCATGGCCCAGGGAGATGTTGGGGCCCGGGATGGGGGAGGAGTACCTGGGCTCAAGTGAGGACAAGACAGACCCCCCACCACCAATCCTGATCCCAGGAGGAACTGAGGATGGGTCCCTTCCCCACACGGAGTCAGGCCTACAGCGGGGTAACTGACGGTCTCTGTGGGGAGGTGGTGGGGGTGTTCATGAAGGACAGGGGCTGAGTCATGAGGGGTTCAGGCCCCTCTGCAGACACTGACTTGGATGCGCCCTTCCCGTGTCTGGGCCACAGGGTCCCCAAGTGTAAAAGGACAGATTCATGGCCCAGAGCTTAGATTTCCTTTCAGTTCTGGCTCTGACCTCCTGGGGGAGGGGGCCTCACAGGGTCACCCAGGACGTGGTGTGGGGACTGTCCCCTCTGTAGCAGTGATGGTGACATGCACAGGGAGGGGCAGGCAGGACAAGGGTCTGGGGCATCCAGGTCCTTTCCCTCAGCCCAGGCTCAGCTCAGAGGAGAGAGGGCTGGAGTCAGACCTGGTTCAGTTCCCAGCTCTGCTGCTCCTGCGGGGGGTCAGGTGGTCCCTTCTCTTCCCTGAGTGTTGGGTCATGTCTGTCCATCCCTGGTCCCCTCCTGCTCACAGGCTGCTGTCACATTAGGTGACATAAGGGGCCCCACAGAGCTCAGGAAGGCAGAGCCCCAGCCCACCCCACCTTCCTAGGGGGCATCTGCAGGGTGGAGATGGATCCAGGGGAGACACAGAGGCCACCCCACACCCCTGCCCCTCCTGTGTCCCTGCTGTGCTGGGGGTGGGGAATAAGGAAGGACCCTCAGCTCAGATGAGACATGGACAGGCCCCTGCAGATGAGGAGCTCAGAGCACGAAGCTGAGGTCCCTCTGGGGCAGCATGAGGAGAGCACAGGGCACCCACAGTCCCGGGTTCCAGTCCCAGCCCTGCCCCGTCCAGGCTGGGTGACCTGGGGCAGGTGACTCACCTCTCTGAGCCTCAGTGTTTTGGGTGGTGGGCACAGTCCCTGGTGCATGACTGTGTGAGGGGAGAGGGATGAATGACAGACCCCAGCAGGTGCCTCACATAGTGGGTGCTCATTACATGACATCATAGGCTTATTCATGACATCATAAGGGAGAGAAGAGCTCCCCTGATATTTTGGATTTGATTCCTTTTCAGAAGTTGTCCCCAAACCCTCCATCTGGGTGGAACCTGGTCCCTTGGTCACCACGGGGAGCCCTGTGACCATCTGGTGTCAGGCGTCTCTGCAGGCTACTGCCTACGTTCTATATAAAGAGAGGGGCTCTGAGCCCTGGGATACGAAGACCCCACAGAACTTCAGCAACAAGACCGGTTTCCTCATTGAATCCTCCAGCTCACAGCATGCAGGGCCCTACGAGTGTGCGTATTACACCCCTGAGCGCAAACTCTCAGAGCGCAGTGACCCCCTGCTCCTGGTGGTGACAGGTAAGCGGAACCCGGGTGCCCTCCCCACTGTGGCTCCCCTCACACTCAGGGATTATCAGGTAGGCTCATGGGGACCTCACCCCACAGTCCACACTGGGAACATGTGGGTGATGGTCCCTTTAACACAGATCCCCCTTCTCCCTCAGGAGTGGAGAGAGCACCCTCCCTCTCAGCCCAGCCAAGCCCTGTGGTGGCCTCAGGAGGGAGCGTGTCCCTCGTGTGTCGCTCACAGGACACATCGGGCACTTTCCATCTGCTGAAGGAGGGAGGAGCTGACCCGTCCCGACACATGGAACCGCAATCGAAGTCCAGTGCTGGGCGGACCTATGCCCGGGCCACCTTCCCTGTGGGCCCCGTGAACTCCTCCCACGGGGGGACCTACAGATGCTATGGTTCCCCCAGATCCTACCCCAATCTGTGGTCACACTCCAGTGACCCTCTGCATCTCGAGGTCACAGGTGAGTGGAAACACTGTGCAAACCCATGTGTTTCCTGAACACAAAATGACTGACCTAGGCTTGTTCCCAGTGGAGCCCTGGGACCCGAGGGTCAGTGACACTGGCCTCTGGGGGACAGAACCTCAGGCGGGAGGCTTAGGGAGGGACAGGAGAGGACTCTCCCTGCAGCCCCAGTGGGCAATGGGGTGTGTGTCCCCTGATGCCACGTCCCCTTCTCCCAGGTGTGCACAGGGAGCCCTCCCTCTCGGCCCAGCCGGGCTCCCTGGTGCTGCCTGGAGACAGCCTGACCCTGCAGTGTGGCTCGGAGGCTGGCTTTGACAGATTCGCTCTGACCAAGGACCAGGGGCTCACACACCCCCAGCGCCTTGATGGGCAGCACAGCCCCGACTTCCCCCTGGGCCATGTGGACCACACCCACGGGGGCCGGTACAGATGCTACAGTGGACACAGCCTCTCCTATGCGTGGTCGGCCCCCAGCGCCCCCCTGGACATCCTGGTCACAGGTGAGGAGCCCAGCCCTGGCCCTGTCCTGACTGTCTGCTCAGGGCGCTGGGAGCAGGGTCCCCTGGTGGTGCTGGGGGCAGGAGAGGGTCCTGGGGCAGAGGCTGAGAAGGGGCAGAGGTGCAGAGGGAGGGAGGGAGGAAGGCGGAGTGAGGGGCTCAGACATAGAGACACCCACCCAGGGGCACTGAGAGGAGCTGAGAAGGATCACAGACAGCGTCCCTGGGGAAGGACATGGTCCCTCAGCTCAGGGTCAAGGGCATGTGGGAGGGGGCGGCTCTCTACACATCACACCTTCCCCTCCCCAGGAATGTACAGGAAACCCTCCCTCTCCATCCTGCCGGGCCCCTCAGTGCCCTGGGGAGCGAACGTGACCCTGCAGTGTGGATCTGAGATCTGGTTTGACACCTTCCACCTGCACAGGGAGGGGTCTCTGGATCCCCCCCAGCACCTTCGTCTGCAGAAGACGACTGCACCCTCTCAGGCCAACTTCACCATCAGTCCTGTGACCTCAGCCCACAGGGGCACCTACAGGTGCTATGGTTCACGCAGTGCCTCCCCCTACCTGCTGTCACACCCCAGTGACCCCCTGGAGCTCCTGGACTCAGGTGAGGACCCCCAGCCCTGCCCCTGTGTCCTCATGGTCAGTTCAGGACCCAGATCACAGGCCACCATGGGCTGGAATAGCAGTGAGGGGGTCACAGGAGGGGCAGCCAGAGAGGACCTCACCTCCCAGAGGGATGGAAAAAGGCAGAGCAACTCCCACCCCTGCCTCATCGTCACCCGCATCCCTGAGGCCCAGACATGTTCCCGGTGGGCAGAGGGAGGCTGGAGAGACTCGGACTGACCAAAAGGGGAAAAGGTCAAAGACACCCATCCCGACCCCCTTCCGTCTCCAGTCCTGAGTCCACACCCTGAGAGACCAAGACAAGAGTGGGGACTAGCAGAGGCCTTGGGCCCCAGAGAGGACAAGACCCCCTGCTGGGGCATGGCTGGTCTCCCAGGGGGTGGGGCCTGGCAGACATACTGGGGACCCACAGGGCTCCAGGACTCTGAGGCTGGCAGGTGACAGGTGGGGTGGCCATGAAAGAGGGAGACGCTGTGGTCCCTCCCTGGGGAGGAGCAGCTGGGAGGAAATGGGGAGAGGGAACAGCTCCTACCCCTCAGCTCCCATCTGATCCCAGGAGGCTCTGAAAATTGGTGCCCCTGAGTGAGGCCCAGGGAGGGCTCAGTGAGTGTCTGTGGGGAGGAGGTGGGGGAGGAGCTCAGTTTGGTCTTGGCTCAGCCACTTCCTGGTAATGGCCTGAGGACAGTTCCTTCTTCTCAGAAAACCGATGTCTCCAAAGATGCTTGGACACTGTGTGTGTGTACATATGTGTGCCTGGTCGTGCCTGTGTGTGCATATGTGTGCATATGTGTGTGTGTGTGTACAGGTGTGCGCATGAGTGTGTTGTGTGCGTGCAAACGTGTGTGCATGTCCGTTTGTGCTGGGTACACCGACGGTGTCTGAGCTCTCCTCCACAAGCCTACAAGGAGCTGCAGTGAAGTCAGAAAAAGAAGCCACAGCCCCGGTTCAAATCCCAGCTCTGCCCCTTCCCCACTGGGATCTCAGACAATCTGTTCCTCCCGAGTCCTAGGTTCATGGGTGTGCACGGGTCTCCCGCCACCCCCCTCACAGTGACAGCCTTCAGCTCACAGCCTGACCCTGGTTACAGCTCAGGAAGGACACAGCCCTCCCCCTGCCCTTCCCAGACACACACACTCCATGTGCACACAGGCCCCACTGCGGTGGGTGGGGTGTCAGTCTGCAGTGTGGGAGCTGGGTCTGGCCTGGTCTGGAGACTGTTGGTGATTGGCTTTGGTGACAAGTCTCTGCACTAGTGTTCTACCTGGAGCATACAGGGACAGCATAGATAATATTTAATAATTAATAATAATACTAATAACACACAATCCCTGGCTTGTTTGGCTCAGCGGTTAGAGCGTCGGCCTGTGGTCCAGAGAGACCCGGGTTCGGTTCCCGCTAAGGGCATGTACCTTGGTTGCAGTTTGTCCCCGGCCCTGGTTGGGTCGTGCGGGTGGCAGCCACTCGCTATGTCCCTTTCACATCCATGTTTCTCTCTCTCTCTCTCTCTTCCTCTCTCTCCCTCCCACTCTATCTGAACAAAAAAAAAAGGAAAAAAAATGTCCTCAGGTGAGGATAAAAAAAAAAATTTTTTTTAAAATAATAAAAAAATAATAACACACAAGTGTTCCCTCTGTTTGGGTTCCAGTGACCTGGGGCAGGTGACTAACCTCTCTGAGCCTCAGTGACATGGGTGGTGGGTCAGCATTCCCTGGTGCATGACTGTGTGAGGTGAGAGGGAATAGTAGGTGCTCAGTAAATGACATCATCAGCTCATTCATGACATCACTCATGTCCAAGGTCTCCCACGGCACCTGTACGTCCTGATCGGGGTCTCGGTGGCCCTCCTCCTGCTGCTCCTTCTCCTCCTCTTCCTCTTCTTCCGACACCAGCGTCAGGACAAAGGCCGGACATCAGGTGAGTTAGCGAATGGGGTGACCTGGGTCACAGAAGGGGGCGCTCACATAACCAGCCACAGGAAAACTGAATAGCTGGAGGTCAGCGGAGAAAAAGATTCCTCCAGAATCTCACATCAGGAAATCGAGAGAGAAAACACTCCACGTCAGCACAGATGTGCAGATGTGATTAATCTTCCATCGTTTTCAATGTCATGAACTGCGAAACATGCGCACAGTGTGTGCTAAGGTTTCCTTCTTTCCTGCGGAGTCGCACGGGGATGGGGCTCCTGACCTCCCAGGGCTGGTGCTGTCCCGCTTGGCCAGCCCAGAGAGAGGCTCATGTCCAACCTCCTGCAGGGGCCACAGACCCAGAGCCCAAAAACAGAGACCTGCAGTTCAATAACCCCTGCCCTGAAGACGGCAGACGTTCACCGACCATGCTCCCACTTTGCCCTTAAGACTTCAGTCTCCTCCCCCAGCTCCATCCCCCTGTGGACGCCCAGGAAGAGCCCCTCTGTGAGAGGAAGAGACAGCTGCCTGGGGAGGGGCACAGGGATTCCACGAGGCAATGGGCACGATAGGCTGGGATGAAGTAGGGGGTCAGAGGTGACAAGGACTAAAGTCCACATGAGGGACTTAGTGCCTCACCTCACCCCTGGGTTAGTGGTCCATCTGGGAGCAGGAGGAGTCTGCAACCCTGAGAACTGGGGACCCTGTCAGGAGACACACTCTGTTCTGCTCCAGCAGATGCTGCCATGAAGGACCCACAGCCTGGGGTAAGCGTGGAGCTGGACTCTCAGGTGAGACCCTGCTTCTGCCAGGCACCAAGGACCTCATGTTGCCCCGTTTAGTCCAATGGACACTTCCCTGTCCTCACATCACCTGGTTCTCAGCAGTGTCCACACTGACCTCTGCTTCTGGGTGCCCAGGTCGTCCTGCTGTGACTCACTGCTCCTGCTTTCCTTGTGTCCCTCTTTTGTGGTCCCCTTTGCTAGCTCCTCGTCCTCTGTCTGACCTTGTGCCGCCCCAGGTTTCAGGAGGATACATGAATAACTGAATCCTTCTCAGGTCCCCAGGATCCCCTCATTCATTCCCCCAGCAGATAGGACGAGAAGCCCACTGTTCACAGATCCTTTTAGGTGCCGCAGTGCAGGCCTGAGCAACACTGTCTCCACCCTCCTCGAGCTCACCTGTGGGTGAGGGGGACACTATGCAAACAAGTGACAGTGTCCCAGAGAGCAAAGTGCTGTGAAGGAAAATAAAGCAAGAGGAGGGGGTAGAGTCCATGGTGGTGGTAGGAAGAGGGGACACAGAAAATAACAGGTGCAATGGTCCGGAAGCAGGACATGCTTCTTCAAGAAGATGGGCCATGTGGCTGGAGAAAAATGAGTGAGAAAATGTATTTTAAGATAAGAGTCAGAACCTTAGGAGCATCCAGATGCCCCAAGGCTTAGGAACTCCCTGCAGATCCATCAGGGGAGGGACCTAATCTATTCAAAGTTAAATCATCACTCTGGCTACATGTGCATAATGACTGATCTACAGTGGAATCAAGGACACACTGTTTCTGTCTCACTGTCTCTCTGCAGCAGAACACGCACTATGAAGACCCCCAGGAAGTGACGTACACCCAGGTGAACCCCTCAAGATCAAGACCCAGGAAGGGAATGGACACCTCTCCTTCCTCACAGTCAAAGGAATTGCTAGACGCAAGGGGCAGACAGGCAGAGAAGGACAGACGGATGGACAGTCAGGTGGGTCCCATCCCCTCCACCCATCCAGGCTTCCCCCACATCCACCATGTTTCATCCTTCTCACCCTCCCCCTGCCCCAGGCTGCTGCATCTGATGCCCCCCAGGATGTAACCTATGCCCAGCTGAACCACTTGGCCCTCAGACAGGAGGAACCTGCACCCCGCTCCTCCCCACCAGAGGAACCCCCAGAGGAACCCAGTGTGTATGTGACTCTGGCCACCCACTAGCCCGGGAAGGTCTCAGACCCCACACTCCAGGAGACGGACCCCACAAAACATGGGAGCTTCCCACATGGACACTCAGCTAGTGACCCCGGCCATTTGGACACCAGATGTGGACCCCTAGAAGCTTCTGGAACCCTCGGCGAGTCATTGGATTCTACGGTCAAACATAACCAATATCTCTCCATTTTGAAATCAAAGCAACAGACTCTTCAATAATCAATGCATGAATTTTGAAGCAAAATGGGATTGAGAGAATGTTTTAAATGAATGATTATGTAAGTATTACGCATCAAACCTATGAAATGGAAAAGTAAGAACCATGAATGAATTCATTAGGAAAGAGAAAGGTGAACACATAGAAACAACCTACGTGTTCAACAGATGACAAGACAAATATTACTCGGCCACAAAAAAATGATATATTGTCCATTGCCACAACATGGATGGATCTTGAGAGTATCATGTTAAGTGAAATAAGTCAGTCAGAAAAGGACAAGAAATACATGACTTCACTCATATGTGGGTGAAATCTGAAACTCTGAACTGTCCTGTATATTAAATATATTGAAAATGTGATTAAAATTTTTCCACCCAGCCAGTGTGGCTCAGTGGTTGAGCGTCGACCCATGCACCAAGAGGTCACTGGTTCGATTCCCAGTCAGGGCACATGCCCAGGTTGTGGGCCAAATCCACAGTGGGGGGCATGAAGGAGGCGGCCCATCGATGTTCTCTTGCATCGATGTTTCTATTTATCTCTCTCCCTTACACCCTTTCTAAAATCAATATATTTTTTTAAATTTTTAAACTCTCCCTGTAAAGTGAATTCAGAATTTGAAAAGCTTCTCTGCTAAATGCTTCTAAACACTTACGCGTGTATGAAATACACACACATGGACATACACATGGACACACACAGACATACACATACACATACACATACACAGACACACCAACGTGCACAAAATCCAAAATAATATGCAGATCTATTATTCTATTTTCAAAAAGATTTATCCAATGTCACTGGGTACATTATTAATATATAAAAATCAATTGCATTTCAGACTTCCTGTTTTAGACCAAGGGGTAGTAGATGGATGTCTCCCTAACCCCCCATAAAGCACAGTAAAACTCCTGGTCATTGCATATATATCACACAGAAGCCCACTCCTGGCTTGGGCCGGAGCTGAGGGGTGAGATGTGGCCTCCTGACCGCTGAGGGCCACTCCAGATGCACGGCAGCTACTACTGGTGCCCCGACAGCAGCTCTCCTCCTCTCCCCTGCTCCCCGCCTCCAGCCTCGCCCCCTGACCTGCAGGCCTCTAGGACCACAGAACCTCTACAAGGCATTGGTTGGTCAAGTGTGTGCCATGCTGCTATTGTCATTCTTGCTCGAATTCTTTGCATGGGGATGATTCACAACTCCAATGTTAACTGCAAAGGCAGATTTCAAGATGGCGGTGGAGCAGGTGGAAGCTACACTCACCTCCTCCCAGGACCAAGCTGAAATTACAATCACCCGGGATAACCAACTGGCTACCAGCTGAGGAGGAGTCTTATAACCAAGGATTTACAGAAGAAGCCACGGTGAGACTGGTAGGAAGGGCAGACACGTGAAAAGGGCTGGCTCCATACCCATGGGTGGCAACTGAGGTTCCAGAGGAATATCTCAGCTGCAAGGTGGGAGTTCAACCTGCGAAATGTGGGGCCTAAATTTCAGACCAGTCTCCCCAGCCCAGAGAACCACAGCCGAGAAGAAGCACCCACATAACACC